GCAGCGATTTTATTCAAGTGATTTAACTGTTCTTTCATGCCCTGCCATTAAAAAGTCTTACTGATGCCATTCGTGTTGTACGGTGATCTCATGGACAAGTCTCCTATTATTGAGCTATTTGTGTTTGTGGTGCCTGAGATGAGACAGGCATTTTTTCCTGGGCTAATTGTCTACTGAGAAATTGCAGCTTGCTATTAACAGAGAAGCCAATGACAGCAGTTTACGGGAGTCACTCTTAGCAATTCAGTATGGCAACCGAGCAAAGGAGTGCACTGAAATGCTATAAAGCGGTATTTCATTTTTCCTGATGAAGTTCGGTACTCTGCCTAGATGAAGCCTCCCTATCCCAAACTTACAGCAGCATGGAATACTGTAATGAACTTCTGTCTCAGAGGATAAATACAGCACCCCTGGGAATTAACTTCAGAGGCACTGGACAGGAATGAAGCAAAGCCACTAACTGGTTAAATAACCTGGATAAGAGAAACCCGCAAAAATTGGAAGTTAGACAGATTTAGAGACTGTTTCTTTAAAACATTAAAGATGTGACAGTTGTAAAATAAGCTGGTGGAATAATTAGCTATTTAAATTACACCCTGCTGGAAAAACAATGCTATAAATATGTTTTTCATAGGTTTGTGGTAGAGCTATTGCTTGTGCAGAATTAATTGTTATGTCTTTGTTTAGATTTTCCACTAATTTCAATGATCTGTGTTAGTGTTTTTTGTGGTTGACTACCCCAGAAAATTAGGAGTCCATTAGTGTATAGATTAAGTTATGTAGATTTGAGATGTTGGACAGGCAAGGGAAATTCACATCAGGGAATAGAATTTATTTTCAGAATGTAGCTGAACAAAGTGTAGGAAGATAGGTTAAAAGCAAAGTTTCTTTTCCAGGTGATTGATATGTCATAGTGACTGGTGAAGAATATGGTTGGTTTTAGACCCTGTATTGACTGTGCTCAGTGTTAGTTCATGAAGCCTCTAGGGTATTTTCATAGCAGCAGATGTATTTTTCATGTTAATATTTTAATGTAAGAAGAACTTTGTTAAATAATAGGAATAAAAAAAAATCTGTTTAATTGATAGCTCTGGCAGCTATTAAATATGACAGATATTCAGTCATGTCCAAGGTAAATTGCATGTTTATGATGAAGTAAGCAATACATATTTTCAACACATTTGAGATGAAATTACAGGAGAGTATATATGGCTGATTTTGGTTTCTCTTTATTTTGCTAGCCACGCATCATAGTTTAGCATGTGCAAGGAATGCAACAAAAATGCAGCCAAGGACAAAGTACTTCCAGTCCTTAGAAAATCCTCCATTTTTCCAGTGGGCTTTGAAGAACAGCCTATTGCACATCAAATAAATCTTTTAAGCCTCACTGTAACCTAAAAAGGAGTTACTGCTGTTTGATCTAAGCCTGGCTCTGTTGTTGTGTTTAGAATATGTCATCTAACTCACTGGAGAATATCTCCAACATACAGAATGCATCTCCTAATGAGATACACCATCATTGTCGCAGAGGATGTGTATTTCCCTGCAGCAGGACAAAGACGAATATGGGAATTACTGCAATAGCTTTCTGAGCACGTCTCACTAAAAGACATGGAAGTGTTGTGAGGTTACACTGGAAGTCGAGTACTCTCCGTTGTTGATGGCTTTTATTCTTGAGGGGGTTATATGGCGATCAAGGAATAAGTGAATCTGCTGCTTCTTTATGTGACATACATAGATTTAGCTTAAGATCTAGTTGTGCACTCTGACAAAATGGAAGCTTCTTAACTGAAGCTTTGGATCCTGAAAGCATCTCATCAGTTGTCAGAGAACTCTAAGTCAGTCTCAGTTCATGAGCAGTTAGAGTTTTCAAAACATTTTTACATCTGTAATTGCTTTCATCTGATCAGCTTAACATATAAAATCCTCCTTAAATCCAATCAGGAATCTGAAGCTATATGCTATATAAGGGATACTTGACAAGTGCTAATGGGTGTGATACCTTTGTGCTAAGTTGAATGTGTGGAGGTACCACTGTGCAGTTGTGGTTGTTCAGTATGAAATTGTGGCAGCAGGAGGAGAGAGGAGATTTGCTTCATTCTCAAACTAGAGAAAAAGTCCTGGGAACAGGGACCAGATTCCCAGGTTTCTCCTTTTCACACATCTTCAGTTCTTTTCAGCAGCATGTTGTAGTTTCACTGAGAGGATCATAGGTAGCTCTTTCAACTTTGTGCATTACCTGATAGTAAATATTATCGTGGGAGACTTGGAGATGCTGCTTTAAGCTCCTTCAGGCTGCAAGAATCATTGGGTTTCAGTCTTCTAGTGCCTGGACAAACACTTTTCCTTGTGAGGTATTAGTTAAGTGGTGATTACTTTCTTTTTTCAGGTTGCATTCAAAAAGTGGCTTAATTTGTGCTTTGGCCACTAAGCGTGCAGTTGTTATCTCTCCTGAAGGCCTTTCTCTCTGTTTAGGCTGTAGATGAGGGCAGGATTTCAGGACAACCAATCCCTGGGCTTGCTTAATGTCTCCTTAGCTGTCTAGGAGTTAGAAAGGAATGCCTTTTTGAATAGCTTAATTCCTTCCTATCCTGCATAGAGAATACCTGCTGCAAAGAAGCTTTAGCTGCTCTGTACCTAAATGCTAGATATTAGGGCATCAGCATTGTAGGTACCAAAAGTTTTTCATTAGGACACAGTGTATCTGCATCGTTACCTGTGGGAATAGCAATAATGGGATACTTAGGTCTGTGAAGTATTTTCGTAGAGCTTACCTTTTTATATACCCACAAGCCCTTTATTTTTGGCCGAGGGGAAAAAAAACTGTTGACGTTCAAGTACATCACACAACCTGAGTAAGAATATGGTCATTAGTGGTAAATGGTCAGGTTTCCCATTCTTGATGCTGTCATTAGGCTACACAGTAAATGCATATTGGTATGAACAGGGAAGTCAACATCTATTTTAAAATGTGGTTACTGTGCCTGCATAAAGAGATCCTGAGCAAACTAATGGCACCAAATTGTATCATAGGGGATAATTTTTTTTCGTAACTCCAGTAGCTGAAAAACTTCATCTTAAAATAGAAGTGCATCGATAATGCTTTAAGTTTTAAATCACAAGAAATATTGATGTGTCATTATTTTTAACGGCTATTTTATACATGAAATCTAAACTTACGTATAGCTGAATCCCTTAGTTATCCTCTCTATTGACTGAAGAGTAATTAATTTAAATCTTACCCTTACAATCTTGCCCTTGTTTCAGCTGAGTTTATTTTCTTCTTATTAGCTGGTCCAGTGTTGTTTTGTATTTCATATGAGAAAAATGTTGATAAAACATTGATTTTTGGTTGTTGCTAAGTAGTGCTTACCCTAAGTCAAGGGCTTCTCAGTTTCCCATGCTCTGCAAGTGACAAGGGGCACAAGTAGCTGCGAGGGAGCAGAGACAGGGCATCTGAAGGGGAAAAATGACTGCTACTGCTGAACCCAGGACACCCGAGCTAGCCAAAGGGATATTCCATAACATGGCACGTTCATGCCGAGTATATAAATGGGGTGATTGGGAGGGGCTGATTGCTGTTTGGAACTGGAACAGGCATTGGTCAGTGGGTGGTGAACAATTGTATTGTGCATCACTTGTCATTCCTCTCTCTTTTTGTCATTTCCCTTTTCATTACAATGACTATTACAATTACTATAATATTTTACTTTGTTTCAATTATTAAACTGTTCTTATCTCAGCCCATGGGTTTTGCCTTTTCCCAGTCCTCCTCCCCATCCTGCCAAGGCAGGGGCAGGGAGGGAGTGAGCAGCTGCATGGTGCTTAGTTGCCAGCTGGATTTAAACCTCAGCAAATCCCTGCATAATCAGTGCAGTCTACACAGGGTGTTTAGTGTTGATCCTCTGGCTCACAAAGCCTGTGGTGGTGGTGGGGCAGAAATGAGATATGTCTGTGTTTGCCTTCAGGGGGGTTGTATTTCTGCAGTTGAGGTGGAGGTGCTTGGTGAAGGTGTTGTGGTGGGTTGACCTTAGTTGGCTGCCAGAGACGCCCTCCCCAGCCATGGTTTTGCTCCCCATTTTCTATAGAAAAGACAGAATAAAATAGAAGAGCTCATGGCTGGAGATAAGGACAGGTCGATCACTGGTAAAGCAGACAAAGCAGACTCATTGGCAATAAAATTAAACCAATTTTCCTCAATTAAAATAGATTTGGATGGTGAGAAACAATGATAAACACTAAAACACCTTGCTCCCTGTTCACCCTTGTCCGAGACTCAGTTTCAGTCCTTACCTCTCAACTCCTCCACCTCCTTCCCACTCCCCTTGAGCAGCGCAGGGGGACACAGATGGCAGGTTATGGTCAGTCCATACACTTGATCTCTCACAGTTGTCCTTGCTGCAGCACAAGTCCTCCCCACCGGCTGCAGTCCTTCATGAACTGCTCCAGTGTGGGCTTCAGATAACCCTACTCCAGACTGGGTCCTCCATGGTCCTGCTCGGGCACCCTGAGCTCCTCCTGCTCTGCTCTTGGTGTCTGCAAGGCTGTTCCTCATGCATCTTCCCCTCACTTCTCAGTGCTGGGCAACGTTTCACCCTTTTGCCCTGAGGTGCCATCGCCATGGCCGAGGGGCTCAGCCGTGCCCCGCAGTGGGTCAGCCGGATCCGGCTGGAACCGGCTGTGTCCGGCACAGGGCAGCCCCTGCCGCTCCTCACAGCGGCCGCCCCTGCAGCCCGCCATTGCCAGCGACGGAGCACCCACAGTCGGTACAGTTGTGTGCATTTTAAACCTCACTAAAAGTAGCTAGGGTAAGTACCCTTTTAAAATGGCTCTTGTGACCATCCTTGCGAGTCATTCCTGACCTTCATCCCTGTTCAGAGCCCCCAGGGCAGGTAGCACAGGTACAGCTGTGAGCAGTGCCGAACAGCGCTGCAGTTTACCTCATGTTTCCGTGCTGTAGTCCTAGAACAGAGTACAAGCTGAGGTTTGAATTTTAAAAGGTTGAGTTGCCCAAGAGAAAGTCACTGGATGTGATGTGACCTGCTCTGAAGAGGTTTCGAAAAGTGATATGCACAAAATATGTTAGTTTCCTGCAGTTACTGAGGCAGAAAACTTGATGTCTGACCACAAGCACTGGAGGATTGCCGTGGCACAATCTGAGGTAAAAAGTGAATGCAAATTGTGACTAAAATTTATAAATGTGCTTACCATTTTTAATCAAGTTCTTTGCAACGAATTAATGGTATTATTAATAATAGCATTATTACTATTGTTGTCATCATCAAAAGAGCAAATGGCTTGCTCCTGCCATGTGATGCGTGGCTGGCTTGTGACACTGGCAGCAGCGGTCTGACCGTATTCTTCACTGTAGATGAGATGTGTATGTGTATATGATGATTTATCACATAGATATTCAGCTCTTTGCAGCTAGAAGTCTGGGGAAGAAGGTATCTGGATTTGCTAATGTAGGGGAATAGACGGAGAGGGTAGAAAGTATTGTTACAATATCGGGTTTGTCCCCCAGGCATTGTTGTTCGCGGTGTAACCAGATCATTTAGAAAAGATGGTGCTTTAGAAACTGTCACAGATCAAAAAGTGCACAAAAGTAACGCAAGAGCACTGGAAATACTACAAAAATAATGTGTGAAGTGAATGGGGTGGGAGGAGGGTGATGTAATTAAATGGAGATCATTCTTGTGGACCACATCATAACTTACGTGTAGGAATGCATTGGTGTCTCTAGGACCCTGACCTTGCTGAACAGAAAGAGAAGGAGTGAGATGAGAAAGAGGGTGATGTAAATGGAGAGGTGAGAAAACATGACTTAAGAAAAGTAAGACAGAAGAGGGTATGAAACCAAATGACACACTAACTGTGCTGGCAACTGTGACAGACTGCAGCATTGAAGGGTGAAAAAAGGAGGAGGCTGGAGGTGTCTGGAAAGGGGGGCACTCAGATACTCTTACAGTAACACTTTCACCTACAATTCTTAAAAATGGCCAAATTATTCTAAGCCTCTGGATTCCTGAGGTTTTCTAGGCAGAATACCCCCTTTATTTCTATAGAATGAATTATGTTCTGCCTTTTGTGACAGGTGTGTAAAAAAAGATAATAGCCTACTTCTGTTACAAATTTTTCAGTTATTAGAAGTGGTAGAGAACTGCTCTGGGATGTGAAATTGCCAGTTCAAATAATGAATCATGTAGGTATTCGGGTTGGTTCCATGTGACTTGTATAGGAAAGGGCGTCTTTTTCGCTGTTGCATTTTTTTTAATTAGAAAATTTCACTAATGAGCATGTTAAAAAGGGCATTTAAGTCAAGAATAAAGATAAGAAATGCCAGCATCCAAGTGTGCCCTTGGCATATATGATGGGATAGGTCACAGAGTTGCACTCCACTTTAGCTGGTAGTTGATTCATTAGTAGGTTTTTCTTGAAGTGAGTTTTCAGTTTGGGAGACGAGACGAGGGGAGTTTCATGTTCAGTTTAAAACACTGAAGATTATCAAAACTTCAGAAATATTCCCATTTTTTTGGTTTTTGTGATGGATGGCCTTTCTTACTGCCTTTATTTTCTGCAGAACCCGCAGACCTCCATGGCTTCCCACCACACCACTACTGCTTGCCATGCTTTCCCTTCTCATTACCACTGCCCAGATAACCCTTCCTCTGCTTGAATTCTAAAAATGAAGATGGAGCTCTAATGAGAACTGAACAGGTTAAAGGAACCAGGAGACTCAGCACTGAAATTTTAGGGTAGACAGTGAATAGTTGTGTGGTCTGGATTGAACTTCTTAGTCTAAATGAGGCATGCTATAACTCAAGGCATCTGTTTAGAGAAGACTTGGAGAGGCTGAGCAAAGACTTTTCTGGGTTGTGTTGAGCAAAGACTTTTCTGGGTTGTGTTTCCAGACCTGCCTTGTTTCATGGAGTATTTGGCACATTTACATCAGTTAATTTCGTTGGTTTCTTCTGGCATAAAAGCACACCCAGCCCCCCCATAAGTAGTGCTCCTTTTACTTTCATTTCTCATTTTGCAGTCACTGCAGGATGGAGGCAGCCTGCTGCTTCTTACTTCCTCCTCCTCTCCACAAAGTAGACTTTGTTTTCTTTAATGCATTACCTTTTATTGCAGAACATCAAAAACTGAATCACATTTTTATCTTGATCTACTTAATAGTGGCTACCCTACTATAAAACTTCTCTTTACAGCACTTTTGAAGCATCTTTTCCAGCACAGGTTTAAACTTGGCTCAGATGCTCATGAAGTAACCATAATATCTTCTTGCTGTTGATCTATCCTATAGCCAAAATTGGTTTTAGGCAAGTTGTTTCTTATTGCGAAACAGATCAGATGAATTCATATGCAATCAGAATCTTGTCTTCCTGGGAGTTGGAGGATATTTTGCACATCAGATATTAAGGCTGCTTTATAATTTATACCTTGTTTCAGTGACCAGAACCAAACTTCAGTGTAATAATTTTTATCACAAAATCTGGATCCAGTTCTAGTAATAGTATGTTGTCTGCTTTTTAAAGTTCATCACCCTGGGCTCTGTTTGTTTTCATTGAGTCATCTATTCTAATGCCCTAGGGACAAAATAGGTAAGCACATTTGGAACGGATTCAAAATGCAGGGTGTATAAAATGGTATTATCACTGAACCATTGAAAACCAAATAATTGTTTCCAAATTATATCCATATTAATTTAGGGATTCTTTTCATCTCTGATTGTAATCAGAAGAGTCTGTCACGAGGTTTCTTTCAGGGAGTATTAGGAAGGCAATAAATGCTATCCAAGCATCAGAAAATATCCTTAGCTATCTTTCAGTCATTGCAGTTAACCACTGTACTGGCAGTATCTGTATTGTATGTGACAGACAGCTTCAATGGCAAAAGGAATGTAATCCACTTTTTCATTATTCAGACCAATAATGCAATGGTGTTCTTCAGAGACGCTTTAGTTTCTGACACAAATGGTATTAGAGGGTTGAGCTAGAGTTCTAAATTATGGCAATTTGATGATAAGAATATACAATGTGGCTGTAATAAAATAATAGCTCTAACATAATAAGGAGGAAGTATATATTTTTCATAAGCAAAAACCAACAAGAAAATGAGAAGTGAGTTCTATCTTCATTATCTCCTCAGCTGGAATCATTGCTGGTAGGTTTATCTAAAGGCATGGATCTGAAAACAGCTTGAGTGCTGTACCCTATAGACCTGTGTGTAGTGTTGTGTGTATTTGATGGAGGATTTAGGAGATACAAGGTATCATCTGCCCCTTAAAACTGTGCCTTACCTTCTTCAGTTTTCCTGCAGGCCCACAGGTAAGCAGGAATAATTGCAGCGAGATCCTGTGACTCTCTTTCTTTACATAGCCTGAAGAATATTATGCACACGGTAACTGTCACATTTCTGGCCTTTCCAGGAGCCCCATTCATTCTACTGCCTGTTTCCGCTCAGAAGAAGCGCCAGTTTCCTCTGGCTCCATTTCTCAGGGGTGTTCTGCTCTCCAGGCTCTGCTTCTTCCTGTCTGGCAAAGCATAGAAATAATTCACAATGTTGGTTCTGTGGAATACATAGGTGAGGGTGTTAGTTAAGATCTGCCTTGAAGGTCTCCCTTTTCTTGGATCAGATCCCACCTTAGAGCAAGAACTGAGAGAAGGGGTAGTGCATCCTTCCTAGACCTAAAGCGTCTGAGGGCCAATGTGGGATGGTACTGAGGCAGCTTTCAAAATCCGACAGGTTTGTGAAGCAGAAGCTGCAGCAGCATGGCATGGAAAGGCTGCCTATGAGCACCCTACCTTTCCTCAGGAGGTCCTTTAGAGCACCACCACCCCCAGAGCATCTCTGAGGTGACATCTCTGCTGGTGCACGTGGGAGTGCGTGTGTGAGCGCTTCGCCTTTTCCTTGCAATCTCCCCGAATGGTTTTGGTACATGGTAATTGTGTGTGTCACACATTTTACACTTACAGTCTGATACCACATTTTACACTTCTGATCTGACACTGAGGGACTTCATGGCAGATCTTTTGTTAGGAGTTTTCATGTCTAGCCAAGCTACTACACTCTGCCTACAAAGCAGGTACAAAACATGGGTTTGGCTTTTGTTTCCACATGTAGACATTTATGTAAGCAGCTGGATGTCGAAGGGTAGTGATCACCCTGCAGTTTTCTTCTTCATGTATAGTCCTTCAGTGCTTCTCATTTTGGAAGTGATAGATTTGCTTGTCATGTTAAGGGTTACCTTCAGAGGTCAGCCATTTTTGATGAAAAAGAGTGTAACAGTCAGAGCTGCGTCTGATATTTGTTTCACCATTCCAAACACTTCAAGCTCAAATTTGTGCTTAATGTATTGAACAATTTCACCTTCTCATACACTGTTTTACGTGTATTATTAAGTAGGCAGCAAATTGGTCCCTTCTATTTTTATCTCTACACTTTAATTCCTGTACTCACAAAGATTTCAGTCTTTGAATGGTGTGCCATAGTCTGGGATCAAGTTGTAAGTTTAATGGCACACACGTGTCATTCTTTGCAGGGTCACAGCTGAGGCCCGGTTTCATCACAGCCTGATTGCAGGTCATTTCTTCCAGTCCCATTATTGTGTCTCTACAAGGATGTACCCAGGAATTTATGAAGAAGCTATTTGAAATCATTTGTTCTAGGGGAGTTGTATCTGAAGTAGAGGAACAGCCACACAGGGATATGTTTTTGTATTTTGAGTTTAACATAAGTTGTATACTTAATGTTATATTCTGTTTTATGCAGGAATTCTTGCCTTCAGGAAAGAAAGGAACCCTGGTACCGTGTTATGTGCTGCACGCCATGAAGGTATCCAGTGTACAGGTAAAGATAATGTTCCTTGCCTTTGGGTACTGCGTTGTGCTTTTTCACCAGAATTTAATTGTATCCAAGTGGATAGCAATGCCAGTGGATTTATTGTTGCTCTCATTTCTTTGCTTGGAAAGGTTTGTGTAAAAGGCAGATTTGGCTCAGTGTGGCAACAGCCATGTGGACCAGCTGTCCTGTACATAAGCACCCACTGCTTTGGCTTTGAAAGAAAAATCTTGGGCAGAGAAAGAAGCGAGGAAGTGCCATTTATGGCACTGTGCATGCAAGTTGTGGAGAGGTGTGGAAGTTGTGGGAAGGAAGTGTTGCTAGGGAGCACTGAAGTCAGTCTGTGCATGTATGATTGGAATGGTAGTTGGAGTTAGTTGGTCGTCCTCCTACAAAGAGTTCATTTTAATTTTAGCATGAAAGCAGTCCACAAGTGTGTTAGCCTCATGTGTGGCCCATAAAGTACCATCCACCCAACAGCCATGCGCTGGAACCAAAAATGAAGCTATGGTAAGGTTGCTGCATGTATTCCTGTGTACTCCTTCTCTGTTTCTGATGCCAAGCCTTCCAGAGGAAGGGAGGCTCAGAAAAACTCTTCATCAGGCAAGGCCTGGACTGAAACCTAGAAAAAGAACAAGCAAGGGCCAAATTCAGTAGCAAACAGATGGCTGTACCTGGAGCATGGTACTTGGCATCTGAAACTGCGTCTCCTCTGAGCAGGATAAATCTGTGCAACACACTTGGGAAACAGGCAGGCCGCTCAGTAAGCTAGCTGTTTGCACATCCTGTTCTGAGTGGTGGAAGGGAATTTAGTAGAGGGAAGCTTCCACTTGCGAAATACATTCTGCCATCTTCCTCTTAGTGGAGATAATAAGGTTGTTGTGCAAGTTTAAGTGTCAGGTCTCTAAAAGTTTTGTACAACATTAAAGAAGTAGGCTAGACTTTCTTCTTGCATCAGTATAGATTGCATCAGTTTTGTCTAGCTTTTTTTTGCCTAGAATATTTCCCTTTCAGCTGCAGAATTAAAAGGTAAACATTTCATAGTTCAAAAGGTGCAGATTTGCTTACCTTGTGGCAAAAGTATTTACGTTTTCACTAGAGGACAAATGATCAAAGCAGTATAATAAAGACTCTTGGAAGGTATATTTTCCCTTACCTAGGAAATGCTGTAGGTCAATCTTGTGGCAAAACAAGATAGTGAAAATTAACTAATGGTTAATCAACTAAAAAGTTTAATTAACCTATTAGCTAATCAACATTCAAAGCTTAATTTTCATTTTTTTGCAGTATCCACATGATGAAGCTGTTTAATGATACACTGTGGAGTACTTCTTTATTAGAATAACTGATTTATAAGGCAGTCGTAATACTATGGATTTATGGGTCATACTTTAGACTGGAGTTATATTTATTTCTGCATATATTCCACAAAGCTAACTCGGAATTCCCCGTTTTTTTCCCCTAAAGGTAGAAAAATATTTTACAAAGATACTGTATTTTCAAAACAGGGAAGTCTGTTGTATGATTGATGATTTCTGGACAGGTTAAATCTAAATGTTACAAATCTAGGAGCTGCTTGTTTGTTACCTTTATTGGTAAGATCTCTTTGGATGTTCAAAAGTAAGAATCAGAGCTACAGAAAGATATCAAATGCAATCTAAGGTAAATCACTGTACTATATTATTTTGTGTTTAAAAATGAGACTTTTATTTATAATGAGCAAACAAACCAGCAGATCCTGTAATTTCCCAAGATATTCTTTGTTCCCAAAAGCTGTCTTCCACTGTCTGAATAATCTGCATCTTTTTCTTCTCTCTATGAATTATCAAAATCTTATTCATGCCTTTCTAAGAAAAAAACATCTTGCATATTTGAATAGGAACCAAACAAACATAAGGATTTAACACTGTACCCATACAGTTTTCTGTGAAACTGCTGTCCCAGGAGTGCAGCTCAGCTCTGGTTTAAATTCTGATTTTTAGAGAGGAAATGCATTTATTGAAATAAAAATAAAACATTTCAGTTGTACCAAATTAAAAATATAATCATGTATCTCAATCTGCGAAGTGTTGCTGAGGCTTTAATCAGAAAGTATTATGTAATAAGCTGAAGTGCATTTCTGCTGATATTTTCCTCATCAGTGCCTCTGGTTTAATTTTCGCATTTGATTAAGGAGGACAGTGATGTAGGGACTGGTATCATTTTTGAAAAAAAAAATGAAAGATAAATATTCTTATGATGAAAAAGAATCACTTTTAAACCTTTATCTGCTCTAGTCATTTAACATATTTACATTCTGTCCTATCCCTCTGCCTCAACCTATATATACATAATTTCAGACCAGTATGATTACATTAGAGAAATAGGAAGCCTGCACAGTTATTTTGGTCATAGTTTTTGGCCTGGTTCCTACCTTAGAGTTGTTTGTGCAGCTAAAGATGTTCTTGTCTGAGGGAGAATTTCCAATGTTCAGCAGAAAATTGAGGGCTTAATTTTCATTGACTCAGTGCAATTCGAATCAGTTGAGTGCTTAATTGTCCTGATAATCTAAATTTTGTGAATTGAGAATTACAATTTTAGTGAGAAGTCTGTGAAAAGTATGTATTTCATACATGCCCACTTCCCATTTTGTTACGTACATAGACAGGCCTCCCTGGATAGCAGAGAAACCTAAATAAGATAGCAATTCTACAAGTTTTGAGGTGATTGTAACTATTACTTCCCAGTAAAAATTCAACTGTCACTCAGCTGCTGTCTCCTCGTGGGTCTGGACAAGGGGTGTGTTTGCCCCATGTTCTCCTGCAGCCCTCAGCAGCAGCTGTTAGGCAGAGGGTGGTTCAAGACTGGTGGGTATGTGCTTGCACAGCGCTGCACTTCACCCCTTGCCTTCCTGGCTGTGAGGTCCCTCAGTATGGCAGGGCACCAACTGGGGAGGTGCTCCTCATTTTTGGGCTCTGGTGCAAAGGCATCCAGTTGGCCGTTTTGGCCTAGCTTGACCTGGCAGAGTATCAGGTCTGTGAGATGACGTGGTCATGCTCTTTCCTGAGAGCAGCAGGGCAGTGTGCTGGGTGCCACAGCAGCTGGAAACTCTGGTGGCCAGAGTTTGCTCTGTATTTCAGAGGTGGAGAATTTGAAGATGGAGTAATGCAACTGTGGCTAATAGAGAATTTTAATTCTAGTTGTCATTGCAAACCTTAAACAAGCTTGAGACTTTCAACTCTTTATAAGAAAGAAATTTACTGCTTGAAACTGTAACCAAGCCAAACAAATACTCTTGGAGCTGTTGATGTAGACAGGCCTAGGAAGAATCTCCGCAGAAGAGCTTTGTGAACTTTTCTTGCCACTCAGTGCAATTTTCAAATGCCTGATTTTATATCAGTTACTGCACTCCCATCTATTTAGTTAAGTGCTCTTCACAGGAAATTATGTCTTTTTCCTTCCCCAGATTGCTATTTCTTTATTGCTAAGAGACAGTCTGGCATTTCTAATAGTTTCTGATTCTAAGAAATAATGGGAAAAATACATGCACACATACAAACTTTAAATAGTTTTGTGTGTATAGTTTTACCTGGCTGTTGCACCAAGTGGATTACAGACCTGACCAAATACCCACGGACTTCAGGATAAATACTTCCACTGCATAAAAAGAACACAATCCAGAAGGCAGTATGCTAGTATCATCAGGTCTTGATTATGATCTGAAAGCAGAACTACTTCTCTTACACTGCTAGCATTTCTTTAAAGAGAATCCAAGAGGTTCAAAGCAATACATGATGCTGTATCAAAGAGAAAACAAGGTGAAACTGAAAATGTGTGGAGAGTTACCCCTGATGTGCAAGTTGGGGTGTGTGATATTGGTCAAGTGGTGTGCTTTGTGTTGGTTATAGAAGTTGTTCATCATCAGGAGGGCGGGTGATTTTTGAAATGCACATGTGTGTTAAGGAAGAGAGTGTACTAAAAGGAAAAATTCCTAAGTGCCTTTTTCAATGCATGCTACAGTTGTAAATGGAGATATTGGGAGCTCAGAGACAATTCTAATACTGAGTTGGATTTAGAAGGTCTTGAGAAGATTATTTGAAGGAAAGAATACATGGACGTGTAGATGTATCTGTACATTTCTTTAGCAAGGCAAGACAAATTGCAACTTAAACCTTTTTTTCTGTTTTCATTAAGCATCTGTGCCTTCATCTTTTTAAATCAAGGAAAAATGGCTGTAGTGGAAGGGAATCCAGTTGTTCCTCAAAGTCCTTTTTAATTTGGAGTTGTCATGATGAAGAAATAGAAGCGTAACAGCAATTCTAATTTCAAGATTCACAGATTTATGAAAAATAACTGCTAAATGTATGCTACAGTCAGTTAAATAGTTTTGCAGTATTATGTAGAATATATAGAGAATAAAGACTACTACAGGAAGCGTGCTAAGCAAATACTTAAAACCACATTATGCTGAATAATAAATAATACATGGTAGTATTGAGTGGGTCAAAAACTTGTGACTAGACTTAAGTGAACTCTCAAAATCTTAATCCAAAGAATATGTCTGTATTCTTTGTATTGATTTAATAGTTCATGGGATGTCCTAGCATTTTTATAAATAAGCCATAATCTCAGGTTTTATTTCCGTTTTCTCCCTATTAGTGTATTTTTTGTATTTTTTGCAGTCTTCATGATCTTTAGCATTGTTACATTTCAGTCCTTGAGCCAAAGCTTTACGCTTTTTCCTCCTACCATTATGTTTTCTGCCACGCTTATAGGTTTGGGCATCTGAATGTGCGCTGCTGGTTTTCACACATTCCTGTAAGACACACATACATGTCTGTCTGTTTCCCTAAGGGTCTGCTGCATCTAACTTTATTTTTAACTTTGTAATTTTAATCTTTGTCTTGTACTTAAAATCTCAAGTTGGGACTGGTACAGTGGCAGTACTATTCCTGGTAAATAAATGTTCAGAGCTTATTTAGGGATGTAATTCCAACAAATATGTGCATACTTAAGAACTGGGACCAGAA